AAGAAGATAACACATTAATTACAAATCAGTTTCAAATGAACATACATCTTCTATATTTACCACAGAACATTTGAGAAAAGACTGAGGCCCATCTGAGAAAACACGAGACATTAAAAGCAAAAGAGGTGTGCTCAAAAGTATAGCGAGAGAATAATGAGGCAAAATAAATAATTGGTTGCCCAGGTGACGATTGCCTAAAAGATATGAAGTAGTCGTCCATCGCAAGCTTGGTCGAGATTTTTCATTTCAGAAATGACATTTAGTATTTTTAGAAAACCTATTCGCCTGAACAGCAGGCTTAAAATATCCAAAAATAAGGTTTAAAGAGGGCATCTTTTGAGGTTGAATGTGGAATAAATAATTTTAAGTTAAGCATATCTCGTTTTTGTTTGATTATAATTCCTGAAAGTCAAACAAGGACAGAACCTACATGTGTTTACTTCTCATAAATGACATACTGTTGAAGTTTGTAATTTTCAATATTAGGAGTTTTACAACAAACCTCATGAGAAGGGATATAATAATAAGGTAATAATAATATAAGGGTCATACCAATTTCAGTTAAATATTTCAGTTAAAAACATATATCACAATTAAATGCCTTACTCAGAGTCAATTTACCACTCGTGTTTGAAAGATAATCTGCCGAAATCACCCAAAAAAGCTGTCCAGCACCTAACCTCCAAGGCCTTCACAAAGCAACTTAGGAAGGAGATGTCTCCTTCAAGGCTAAAGAGAGAAACCTGTCGGACGCAGGAGTGGTGTCACAAGGCCTTACTTATCTCCTCCCAGATTAACTCCCAATTGTTCCCGGAGAACAAAGGCAGCCGGGGAGGAAACCAACCCCCTGAGGGCCAGATGGTCAGCGCTCAGAGCCCCCTGACCCCTGCAGCCCTCTCCTCTCTGACAGGGCTGCGCGTGCTCGGGGCGAGACGGCCACCCAGCGTATTCTCAACCCTTGTACACTCAGATAACACTGTACTTCCTGTCTGACCTAAAGCATGTTTCAAGTAGATGTTCAGAGGATGCATGTTGCAGGAGAGTCTGGAATAACAAATGGGCAAATAATGGCAACAATCAGGCTTTTAGAAGTAGTTCTGATCACGGATTAAGATGTTTTAACCAGGACTAAAACCACCAGACTCAGGGACAGTTTCATCCCACAGGCCATAAGACTGTTAAACACCTGAACCTTGGAAAGAACATCCATAAACATTCATCTGTTTGCATTTTACAAATTATTTTTCAAATATATCATATTCCATTTATTTGTATACTCTTCTTGAAGTATTTCTATTCTATTTTATTCGTATTTACTTGCACAATTTTATCTGTTTTATTTGTTCTATGTCCTATATATATGTTGCACTTTTGGAGGAGCCTGTGACCTAAGTTTATCATTGACATATCTACACTGTAGCTAATGTACAAATGGCAATAAAGCCTTGAATCTTGAATCTTTAAACTAAACAAATTGAATTTCTTCACCTAGAATAAAATAGTTGGATATTCAAATTCTAAATGGTTGCTGTTCAGTCGCTTATTTGACATTACAGTTTCTCTGCAATCTAATTAAATGAACCCTGCTGTAGTTTGCAGGATCCTGTATTGTGCATGTAATTTGCAAAGGGAAGAAGGGGGTAGTGGAGATTGGAGGAATGCAACCTTTGGGACATGAAACATGAGGAATGGCAGATTAGATTTGGTAAAGACCGAGTGGTTTGCCTGTAATTACAATGACGAACCACCAAAAAACATCTCTGGGTCCTGGTTATCTGATATGACTTTATCTCAGCTGCTGAAGCCTGTTACAACAGTGAGCCTTAGGCAACTGTAAAAGTATTCAACAGACAAACATTTGAATGTGTGACCTGGATCCACTTACAATGACTGTTAACGATTAATCAGTAGTGACATTTTCCAAGATTAAATAAGAATTCTATATAAATGTATTCCCGTTGCCAATAAGAACAGATAAGCGTGACATGAGATTTTGAAGGAACAAAGATTAGACCCGTTACAGAGAAAATGTATGTTATTAGGACCTGTTCCAATGCTGGGAACGGTTTCAAACTAAGACCCTAAACATCAGGAAGAATAGGAGGTTAGGAGAGTTTGTTATGTTCATTTGGATGCTGTTATGATACAACTTGGCATCTCATGTGACTTATAGTACTAAATTACGTATGCCAGGTGGGTGGGGAAAAGCATATAATGTGTGTGATATTTGTATAATGGGGGCTTTTGGTATTATTGCCCTGTTGTACCATATTTGACACTAATAAAACTAAGATCTGATCTGCCTCTCGTCTCATCCTTTCTCACCACTACAATAGTAAAATCAGCATTTAAGGCAAAAATAGATAGATTAACACTACTTTAAATACAAATTAGACCATTTGTTGACTGTTGATTTAAGTAAGGTTTCAATTAACTTATTTTCAGCTACAGGTTTGCCAAAAGTTAACTGACACTCATATCACACTGCAAGATACACCTCATTAAACTGAGATGTACACATTTGGGGGCGAGTCCTGACAGCCAAAACATTAGGCAATGCTCTTAAATTGTGAAAACAAAATGGAGCAAATAATCAACAGGTTCAACAGATACAAAATATATTCATGCAGTATGCCTGGCATACAAACAGGCTTTACTGACCGACTTTGCTTAGGATGTGATGATATCTTATTTCCTTTCGTTATTTTTAATTTAGGCAAAAAAAACATCCTGCTTAGCTTTAATACAATGTTAATATAACACTAACTTCAAGCAGCTGTTCTAGCCCTGTTGACCGACCTAATAACAGGCGACCACCCTCCGGAGAGCGATCCCAGCCGGATCCTTTTTATGATCACTAGCATGCTGCCTTATGACATGCTTTTTAAGCAAGAGTGGAGTTACGGAAAAACCACTGCGTGCATGCCTACCTTTATCCGCACGCAGAGTCGGTGTTACACGGTCATGTCCACGTAGAGTCGGGTGTGTGGTTTAAATGTTGGTCCGTGGCTGGTTGAGCACCGCCACCTCACTGCTATGCTGCTGCCGTCGCTCTGCTGCCACAGCTGATCTGCGCACAGAGAGGGAGCCGCCGAGTGACGTCACGGAGCTACTGTACGCACCGTTTGGTTCATGAGGAGAAGTTCGCATCAGCTTGTTTCTGCTAAAGGAGGAAAAAAACACAAAGGATTAGTCAGACAAATAACTAATACGTCAAAAATGTTTTTCTTTTAAATGTTATATTCTGTTTAAAGCCCATAGTTTACATGTATAGAGGTTACTTCTTATACATTACTTGCATATTGGTCACTGGCAAAATTCTCTTGCAGTGTTTTATTTATGTTCTGTTTTCTTATTGCATTATTGTTTATTGTTTGATGTCCTTTATTATGTTACATTGTTGAAGGAGCCTGGGACAAAAACTTGTCATTGACATAACTACACTGTAGCCAATGTGCATTATGCCAATAAAACCTTTGAATCTAAGTATGAATATGTTGAAGAAGGTGGAGTAAACAGAGGCAGACGTTATACTAGGCCTAATAATAAGGTTGCTCTCTAATAAACTTTTGTTTTACTTCAATACACACAATGACATGCATATACAGCAACAATAAATCAATTATAAGGAAGTAGAACATTACACAATAAACTGATAGACAAAACAAATCAAACATCCAAAATATGATTGAATAATTCATTGAATGATAGATACTTACACACATGCATGCTGTGGAAAACAGTTATTATGAAGGAAATATCTAAAATGTTGGACACAATTCATAAAGAAACCGTTGTGCCGTATTTATCAGTCTATTTAAGGTGAAAACATCTCCCTCAGGTGGCAGACATACAGAACATATACATTGATATAAAGAGCTTCATATTGCGTAGATTTAACAAAAAAACATCTTCACAATTTTTTTTAATTTACTGGTATAAATAAAAATAATATTTATTTTAAGGAGCACGCTTCATGTTTTTTTTTTGACAATGTTAAAATCATGGGTCTTAAGTTTCTGAACAAAAGTGTTTTGTCATGTTAAAGTTGAACACCACCGCCCTCTGTTGGCTCAAATGCCAAATGAACGCTGGAGGAGGCTGATTGCAACGTAAAGAAGAAAGGGGATTTGTTTTTAAAATAGCTTTGTATAACTTGCTTGCTATTTAATTTGATATAGGTGGACGCTTACGGTGATTGATTCATAAAATAATTAAATGATTCAATTAAAAGGTAGGTACACAGTTATTATCTAGCCACTATTTCTTATAAAAAGTGAAGCTTTTGCATCAAACAAATAGATAGGGCATGTGACTATAATATAATGACTATAACTAAAGTCTTATTTAAGTGTTGATTAAATGTCACACCATTAATCCAAATCTGCAAAGTAACTAAATATATTAAATAAATGTAGTGAAGGAAAATTACACAATTGACCTCTGAATTATGGCGGAGTAGAAGTACAATGTAGCATTTTAATGGAAATACTCAAGTAAAGTATACGTATCTTAAAAATTGACTTAAGTACAGTAGCCTACTTTAGTAAGTTAGTGTAACTCTGCTTCCTATTGACAATGACCCTTGCAGAAATATCCATTCACCTTTATGTATACCTTAAGGATAGAATATATTTGAAAAGGGCATACAAAACCAAACAATATAAATATGACCCATCATAACTAAGGGTAGCCTACATGATACTTACTTTCACTGAAAGGCAAATCGAAAATGGTCTGCATAAAAAACGTTTCGAAATTGTGAAGTACAAAAAAGCTTTTAGAAAAACCAAACATTTTAAAGGAAGAAGGCAAACATTTGAACACTAATAAATAGTTATTCTCCCCTGGGTTCTCATGAGATGCTCACGGTTAGCCCACAGAGTGTAACATTGTGAACAGCAACATGTTGCCATCAGTCTGTGAACTCTTTGAATGCACTTCGTCAGGGCGCATGCGCAGTGCTTGACATTTTGAAGTTGCTTCTCCGGGGTGTTTGAACAGGAAGGCGGACATGTTGGTCAGGCTGTGGGAGAAAATCGGGCATCGTCTGCTGTTTTTTTCCGAAAACTAACACATATCTTAAGCCCATTTTTATGCCTTCGACCTGAGAGATGTATCTATGTGGACGGGAAACAGTCGACAGTCAGTGACAGTGCACGGGATGTCGCGGAAGCACTGCCGTTAAACGTTGTAACGACTCCGTGTTTAAACTGATCGAAATTTGGAAGAAGCAGAAGTTTTTTTCCCACCACTTCTACTTTTGAGCTGTCAGAATCTATTGTCGTTTTCTGCAAGGACCTGGCAAAATATGGGAACGAGTCTGGACTAACATATCCGCAAACTGTGCTTTTCAAAAAGACATTACATTTAACTTTTAATTGCCTTTTGTTTGGATGCACCAACATTTTAAGCCCTTATCCTCAGTGGCATCCTGCGGAGGCTGACTAATCTGTCGCCGACTTTATCTTTTGCCACTGAAGTTGTTTGCAAGGAAAACATCTTTCGACTCTGAAAATGTGGCTTTTGTACATTCAACGCAATCTTAAACGTTTCATCGTCTGTGAAAGCTGCAGGAGAACGATGTATTTTCTTTGAAGTGCCGTGTAAAGTTCACCCGAAGAAAGGAACATTTGGCTAGCTAGCTACCGCTGGCTGCTGCTAAAGCTAGCTAGCCAGCCTTCTGCCTCGCCAGTGAGCTGTTTTTGTTCACAAACCAACATCGGGGCTGAGTTTAACAGCAAACATGTCTGCTGGGGAAAGCATGGCGGCTCGATTTGAAAAAATCGATGCCATGTTGAAGGACCCAAAGTCAGAAGTAAACACGGATTGTCTTCTGGTAAGTTTGTAGCTTGCTAGCTGCTGGCTAGGCGGCTAGCGAGTCAACCATTCGGGGTCAGTCTACTCCTTGGAGCAGAAATTCTTTCCGAGACCAACAAGTCTTCTCAATTGTCACTGAAGGAATGTGCTGATATTGCCACTGACAGGCCAGTTTTACTCACACACTCAATCACGATCAAACACCTGTGTGTTCGTGTTTATATTAAAGATTTGCAATTAGGAAATAATGAGTAGTTTGATACTTCAGTCATAAACTTGCAGGAAAAAAACAATAACGTGGTAATTACTTGCATTAGGTTTTATGTTAAAAGTTGATGTACTGTCAGTAATTGACAAACTAGCTCTAATAACTAATCAGAAATCAAAGGTGAGGTGACAGAACAAGACTGACATATGGGAACCGTGTTATTGTTCTCAACGATACAGAACACTGGCCAGGCCAGGTCAAACAAGTCATGTTATTAGATCTAATCAACTATTCGTCTCCCTCACCCACTACAATCTGATTAGGCTATGTGGTGGCATTATTTAGCTTTTTTAGATCACTAGGAAGTAGGTGGTCAGGTGCTGTTTCTGTAGAAATACTTATCTAAGCTTAATTTAAAGTGATAGGGCTGCCAGCAGCCTGTTGTAACCTGCAGACCTCCAGCTGCATCAGTTCACCTGCTGGAGGTCACTGGCTTCTTCCTGTCTACACTTGACAACTCATGAAGTGTCTCTTCTGTCTGAAGAAAGAAGGCGTTTGCTGCCACGTGCTAAACCCCAAAGCAACACCTTCATAGGTTTGTATTACAAGAGGCAATCCCAGCAACTGACTCACCATGGAGTGGATGCCAAGGGGGACGTTGTTGAGTCAAGTGTTTGTTGATATCAGGGTCCTTTCAGCTTGGGTGACAGTGGAGTGTTTTCACAAGAATTGTTGCTCTCATTGGAGCAGTTGCACTCGTATGTTTAGTGTGATGAAACAGACATTCATATTGGTAATTAGATTGCACATTTCGGTTTGAATTTCTCCAGAAGTATGACAGTTTTAACCAAGGGTTCACTGAATAAACAAAGAGTGACTGGTACTTCTTAATCTGCGTGTACAGTAGTTTTACTGTAACTTAGTCAGGTAGTAGTTTCGTTGTAACTCATTCAGGTGTTGTTCACGTTAGGTCATACTATTTGATTAATGATTCCTGGATCTTCATTGGATGTATTAGCCTGTGGTCTGACAAGCAAAGGAATATTGGGGAAGCAGTCTGTTTCGGAAAGGGGGCTTGCCCTAAAACACCACCCACACGGCCAACATGAAGTGTTTGTGTACAGGCTGCTCTGGATAGCTGTCTTTTGAAAAGAAAACTTTCTGAGTCTCTGTGACCTCCCATCCTGTTGCAGAAAAAGGTAATTAAACACACCTAAAAAAGTGCACACGTTCTGCATTTTTAATGGCAAAGAGCTGTGGGGACTGTTCCTGCTGGCAGCCACACACACAAGGGTGTTGTTCCTCTTTTTTCCCTTTTCTACAATCTTGCCTGATCAATGAATGGAGGCCTTTTGCTGAGGCTCTCTCTGCCACCAATGCAACTCCACCCACAGCTTAATAAAATTCCATGCTAATCAAATAACCTCTTGTCTTTGACTGGCCTGGAGTTCCCTGTGTGTCCCAAAGCCATTCTGCACGTCTGGAGAGAGTTGAGCCCAGGCAGGCAGCTCTGAGGTAGCAGGGTGTGGGCTCTTCGTTCTACCCATAAACCAAAATTATGTGGACTGAAGACTCATGTTTCTAAAGGCCCGTGAATCAGGACATTTAACTCATAAAGCAGCCGACATGCTTAGCTATGAGTAATAGGTTCCATCAGAATACACAATGCAAGCCTTTTACTGGCCATGTTGTTGTACCTGGGTCCTTAGCTGGCATTGCTTTCTGTCTGAAGTATAGCACTGTTGGGCCTAACCGTTTTCCGATGGAGGCCTGGTCTGTGTTGTGTGATGCTGACATTTGGCCTGCACCTTACCACTCAGCTCTTGGCCGGCCCATTGAGCATAGTATTCCAACCCTGCAGCCCTTATCTTCACCCCCTAAATAAATCCTGCTTGGAGAGAAGAGCACCTTATCTGAATGGGCTGCCCCCTCCCCGATTATCGTGCTCTATGCAGGACTTTTAAGAGCCTATCTGAACAGACAGAATTCCTGACATTGTGATGTGAACGCTCACTGACATTAAGGGTCCTATCATTGTCTATATTTATGGTTTATGTTGGAAACAATCAATATGCAGTGTTTCCCTTAGGTTTACTGCTTTGGGGGGGGGTGCTGTCTGAGCGAGGGGACGGGTGGCATTGGGATATATTTTTTTTTAAATCCTCTGGAGCAGAGAGAGGAGCTGTGGATTATTGTTATTGATTAATGCATCAGTGTTTCTTAGGGTGAAAAACACTAAACTCTGTCCCAACTTAAAATGAAAGCATTTAGTTTATTTAATAAAAGAGCACATGTTCAATGGCGTTAATTTTTTTAACGCGTTAATTTTTGTGTAATTAATTAATCTTAATTAACGCGTTAAAGTCCCGGCCCTAGTATATATATATACTTTTTTTTTTATAAAACACTTTTAAACAACTTGAATTTCATGGGGGGTGCGGGGCTCCGTTGGTGGGGCGCAGCGCCCCTCCAAGACAATGGTAGGGGAAACACTGATATGTTTCATCAATTGTATCAAATGATATGTCTGGATTAAATGTGTTGGCCTTAGTTAGTTGTTAGTTACTTTCCGCTTGGTGGTTCCCCTAGTAGAGTCAGTCATTACTTTGTAAATTAGAATACTTGCTATTTGTTGATTTTTTAAAAACTTATATCGTGTAGACTCTGCTTTTGTTTGAAAAAGATAAAGGCATTTGTTATTGTTCTAACTATTACTTGGGGTGCTATGGCTTCTCTGTGTCTTGATTCCTCTTTTAGCTAGACTCAATAGCTGTAATAAGAGTAGTCTAATTACAGGAAACTGTGAGGCTAGTAAACCAGAATTGTAGACAGTGATTGAAAGTGTGAATGCGGCATGTACATGCTTGTGTGGATGCTCTCATGTATAAGTGATTTACAATGTGACAGTTGAATAGGCTGAAACAGTTAAATCAATAACACCACACTGTTGTACATGTGGTGTGTCATTAATACAAAAGGGCAAATCAAGCTTTGTGCTAATTCAAATGTTCAAGTGTTGTTCCCTAGAGGCACATTTAAAGAGGAACATTCAATTAAGGATAGACCTATATCAGTTTTCCTGTTTGCAGGTTAATGTCTGCCATTATTTCCAACTCAAAAAGTCCAACTACAATATATTTTCATTAATTGGAAGAAATTCCTTATTTGTGCATTTGTCAACTAGTTAATGGTGCTGTTTGGCAAAAAAAAATATAAAGTAAAACTTGTTAATGTAAAGCGTTACTTGTTTTATATGATTTATTTATTTCACCTCCAATCTAGCCCAGTCTAAAATTGGCATGTCTTTCCTTTCTAGAAATTCCGCCCAATTCTTAGAGTTTAAGGATTGAAAAAGAAGCTATAGCAAACACAGGGTCTACAGATTGTTTCCATGAAGGTCCTTTGTACAGACGGGGTCATTTTTCAGTCACAACTGCCTACTTTCGAGTCATGAGAATGATTTGTAGAACCATTTTACTGGCACGCTCCCTAATTGCCTTGCATAGTCAATCTGCTATGGCCCAAGTTGAGTATCAGCCGGAGTACAGTCACTCCTTGTCTTGCTGTGTGTGTATAGAGTGCCTGCCCTTGTTCTACTGACCTTTGCCTTTTAATGTACAAACCTTACCTGAAAGGTGTTGTCAGCACTGATAAAGCAGCTATAGTTGCTTCTCATCTTGGTGACAGATCTGCACAGTTTTGAGCAAGATGATTGTCTGTATTATTAACACAACTTGACATTTGTACCACGGGAGCCTTTTGCCTTTTACTTGACATATAACTCTGAGATTTTGTAAGATCCAATTGCTCAACTCACTTTTCGGAAACTTTTTAATCTGGTGCAATGCATGACATGAGATCATTGTTATGGCACATACTGGTTTGTCATACAATTTGCTTATACTTTACATTAGTTACACCAGTAACCACTTTAACAAAGAATCCTTTTAGATTTGTTTGTTGCGCTGCGCCCCGCCAACGGAGCCCTGCGCGCCCCCTGAAAATCAAGCTGTTTTTCTTTTTTTATATATACAATTTATGTTAATGTTTCAGTGTCTATTTTCTGCAGCTTCGACTCGGATAACGACTGACTTAAATTGTGAGTTTAGTGATTTTGACCCTAAGAAACACTGATGCATTCATAAATAACAATAGTCCCCCCCCCGGCCAGGAAGCACCCCCCCAAAGCAGTAAACCTAGGGGAAACACTGTATATAATAATATATTGTTATATTAATGCTCAGCCTTGTGTCGGATGTCATGATGTTGTAGCTTCCAGGAGACACTGATTTTGAAACGCATACTGGATTCACGGAGTTCACAGCATTCCTCGAATACACCAACATTTGTTGTTGTTCTATGTTCCCTGCTCATAGCGAGCTACATAATATCAGAATGACGAAATGTTCACTATACTCTTTCAATCCTACTATCATTTTCATAGCGTTCTGCCTGGAGGCGGCCAAAGCACTTTAATACTTATGCAATGCAGACGGGAACCATTTGAACTAGATGTAATTTGTAGTTAATTTGATCAAAACTACTATTTTTCCTCCCCTTTAATTATAAGTTACGTATCCTTGAGTTGAAAAACATGTATTGTGTGGTTACGGTTATTGTTACCATTTGATCCATCCCTATTGTCAGAAAGCGTTCAGGGCTGTCAGTTGTAAACTGCTCTCCTCAGCTCTTCAGCTAAGGGAACAACAATTGGCTGAGCTATTTGTAGCTCTGCATTCCCTCAACTGACTCGTTATGTGCAGGAACGCATACCAAAATGATCCAGTCTTTTAATAATGGAATGCTCTATC